GAGTTTATAATGGAATCACTAAAACAGATAAAATTTTCAGAGCAGTAATTCTAGCAAGTACTTCTCCAATTGCATTTTTTGATCCATTTCACTTTTTGGTGTAAGCTGAAAAACAACTTTTAAGTATGTAGTCAGTTTGGGCTTTTTTTTGCAAAGCACAAGTTTTCTCACATTTACTTGTCTTCTGAATATAAATCTAAGCTAGATGGTGCTCCAGCTGCCCACCAGGATTCATCTGTGTAAATTTAATGTCTTTCCTTATAAATCAAACTCACACTTGAAAAGGTGAAGATAAAATACAGTGTAAACATGTTGATTAATTTAAATAATTTTCATTATATATACTTGGGTCATTATTGTGTCACATAATACAGTGATGAAGAAAATGGCCAAAGGAAGATGAACTTGAGGAAATTAGTTAAGATTTGTTTTAATTTATGATACAGTTAACAGGGTCAAATTACTTTTGTCAGCACATGAATGGAGAGGGAGAGAGAGAGAAAAATAATTTCAGATGTGTTAAAGTACAGAAATTCAAGTATCCTCAAAGAAAAATTTAGACTTTGTTAATCTATTGTAAGACATTCTTATCTAGTTAAACACTGATTGTGAGTAGTGAGCTATTCCTTCTCTGGTTTTGGCCATGCTACTGTTCTCTGTCCTGTCCTGAGGGTAACATGGGTAGCACCCAAATGAGAACATTTTCAGGCTGCTTTAAAGTTTGGAGTCCAGCTAATTCCTATACAGTAGAACTAGGGAAGTAACAGGTGGGGATATTGCACTAAAATACTCTGTAGCACTTTTTGCAATGGAACAAAACACAAAAGCCAATTATATAATAATAATATTGTTGTTAATATTATTTTTGAGCCTATGTTTGCCTATCCTGTTACTGAAAGATCAAAAAATGAATTCCATATTGGCATACCTTTCAACTTCTGATAGCAGAGAACTAAAATACACTTCATGAGGTATTACAGTGTTTATTACATTTTTTATTATTATTCTATGCACAAATGTATGATTTTTGCAGTCACTCAGTGTGTACTCAGAAGTTAATGTCATTTGAACCAAGGTTCAGGGTAAAGAGGATGCAATTACTGTATAAGCTAAAAATTATCCTCATTTTTATTATTTTTGCTATTCTGGTAGTTACTTTTAGTACTAGTTTACTGCAATATTTTGTAATACTTGATCTTAACGACTGATAATTTTGGTGTCAAATTGTTTAGGAATGCATTTCCCTTGTTTCTTTCTGCATTGGAAACTTGAAAGAGAGCAAAACACATTGCAGGTTTGAAAGTATGATGTTCTTGGGTTCACTATACCTGTGTAAAGAAAAGAAACATACAGACAGGAAATCAATTCTAAGGTAGTTTGAGTAACAGAAAAGACTCAAGAAAAGACTACTGGTTCAACTCTGGAATGTGAGAAACTATTTTTGGTTTGTTTTAGACCCTCATCGTTACAAATTAATCAACTGCTCTTTAAAGTCTAGAACTCATTAACTTTATAAGTTTTACTGTTCCCATGACTGAACTGAACTTAAAATATTCAAGTTTACTTTAGTTACTCACCTTGATCCCATTTCTGTCTACGCTCCACTGTCCTCCTCTCTTGTAAACAAACAGCAGGCTGTAGTTACTTGAGATTTCAAATACTTCAGAAGGTTTGTATGTGGTATCAGTTTCTAGTTCAGCTCTCACTGTAAATCAGTATTTTCAGTCAAACTTACACATTTTGTGGGTGCAAAGAAAATCGGGGGGGGTTTAACCCTGTGGAGCATAGTGCTCACCATGTCAGATACCTGACTTACTTTTTAGTTCAGTCTGACTCCCCAGACACCTCATAGTGCAGAAAACTGCAACAGATAGATTTTTAATGGGAGCAGTTGTTTACTTTTAGAGTAATTCTAACAAGTCAAATAAAGGGTGTTGAGAAGCTGCAAATCTGGAGCATAATGTTGCAGACAGGACTCTTTAAGATGAGTCTGTGGCTGGTGTTATGCAGGAAGCAGAATTCAATTATCAGAACAGCCCCTTGGCCTTGTAAAATGTAACTACCAAGGTTATGTAGGTCTACGTGTGACATTTCTCACTGGCCAAGCAAGTTACTGTCTCCTGTATGACCCTGCATCACATACAGGTTGAAATGTAGTTTTGAGAGGACTCTTACACCCTCAAAATGATGCAGCAGTCTCTCATGCCCAAAAGAAGACATTATTGGGAAAGTCCATCACAGACCTATAGAAAAGAGAGATGTGACATGACTACCAAACATGTGCTTGCAGAACCTGTAGCTAAAATTCCCAGTTATCTCCTGGTACACTTCAAGTTGTGCTTAACTGTGTATATGCTTCTAAACTTATTATTCACATATGGGCAGCAATTGTCCTGATTTAACATAAGAAAAAGGGAAAGTGAAAAATGCATGACAGTGCTTTGTGGCTTAGCTATAAAGTTTGTGTTAAGTTTCTAGACTTTAGAATGAAGATTAATGATTGATACGTAATTTGATCTGTTTCCTCAGCCGTGGAAGTAAGAACAGTATTTGGGTACAATGTGCTAAGATCATATATATTATGTATTTTGTGGAATAGTAGAAGCTATAGCCTTTGCACAACAGATTGAGATTCACAATAAAAAGGAAAACTAAAATGAAAAAAATATTGAGTGAACAGCAGGGCTCATTTGAGGTGATTACAAAGGATATTTCTTTATTCTGTCTTTTCTTGTGCAACCTGAAAACAGTAGCAGGGGGTTACAAGCAGAGTTCATCACAGAGTTGTCAATCACTGTCATTTAACATTTTGCAATGGAAGATGTCTTTATTCAAGGACAGCTGGGCAAATCAGAGAAACAGATTTGCAGTTAGTAGTCTGTCCAGCCTACACTAAGCAAACAAGGACAGGGCAGACATACTGGCCTCTCACATAAAAATATAATGGACTCTGCTGACCTTGGTGCCCTCCATTCAGCTTCATTCTCAGTTGTATAAAAGCTTCACTACCCATTCTCAATTTCCTTTAATTACCTACATGATGCAGATAAGAAAATGAACCTCACTTACTTACAGTCAATGATCACAAACAGGAAATTAAGTAGGCAAGTTGTTTAAAATAAGAGGACTGGTTTGGAGGTAAATAAAACATGTGCTGGGGAAGAATTAGGGAAAAAGCATTTTCAGGAGTACCAATTGGTCTGGAGTGACTTGGCTGATCCTTCTGCTTTCTGCTACTTTAAACTGCAAAGCAAAACTAAGTAAAAAATCCCCTCGGTAAATATTCTTTAAAATATCTTTGAAGGAGAAGCCGGTTAAATAAAAAGCATGAAGCAAACATGCAGCCTCCTATAGGGCTTAAAAAGATTGTGACCTTAGGTTCAGAGAATAAATGACCACAGTTTTCACAAGAGATCTAGCAGAGACATCCAGGATTAAGCAGCAGTTGTCTTTAGTCAGTCTTCACTTCTAATCTGCAGTTGAGATACGGACTAAATGAATGACATTCTGATTTTCTTTCCAAATCTGAAGTTGCCTAGTATCTATCTTTCCTTTTATATCTCTGTCACAGCTTAGGTGGAGTTTCATTGTGCCATTAAAGCAAATGGAAAGTTTTGGGCTGTCAGTTTCCAAGGGAGTGTAAAACAGCTATATAAGTGTTTTTAGGAATAGTCAAAAAGGTTTCATGTGTTAAGATATTAATGAGTGGATACAATACCTTGCAAGTCAATTAGGTACTTCTATTAGGTGTCATAAAACTGTCATTTTTCTTTACCTCACTCTGCACTGGTTGCTGTTGTGAATATTTCATTGTTATGGATTTGCAGGAAGTCTGACTGGTGGTTGAAGACTAAAATGCATAATATTGAATCTATAGTTTAAGAGGACTATAAAACTCTGAACACTTTAATTTAATGGTCTCTGCTAAGCACAGTTTGGAAGACACTGCCCTTCAGGCTACCCAAATGACTTTTAATTTTATGACCAAAGAATTTCTCTTAAATTAGAGATGGAAAAGATATTACATGTTATAAAACTCTTACTTCACTTGCAAGTTTTAGACTTTGGAAAGATCATTGTCATTCCAAACAAGAATATGTGTGTACATGCACAAGAGGATTTTGTGGAGAAAAAAAAAGACTACCAATTAAGTCCCAGAACTGACTGCTCAGCCTAAGCTACAGTTCTTAGGATGCTTCTCTTGACTTCTCTTTCTTTCAGAGACAGTGGATTTCCCCAGCAGGAGAACGAGCACCTTCTCTGTCTGAACGAGTCTTCTCTGACTACTAGAGCAGTCGTACTTGTTCCTCTCAGCCCCAAGGATGTTGCTACTCATAACTACATTTAGGTTACCTGTTGGGGTGCAACTCCTTTTCTCAACAGTGAGAAAGTTCTTAGACACTTTTCATTTTTGTGTGACTGGTATTAGTCCCACTCTGGATAGTTTTCAGCACCTCCTTACAATTTTGCTCTTTGCTTTGATCGCTGAGCCTTTGTTGCTTAGACACTGACAAATTATTGAAAATATAGTTTAAAAGAACCTTACCAGAACTATTTCAAACCCCCTGTGTTTTGAATACAGAGAGATAAGTAGAAACCCTGAAAACTCAAAATGTGAATTATTGCTGTCTTTTAGCTAACCTTACAATGTTTTTGTGAGCCAACCAGGATAAGATCTCTTTAGAAGGTCATCTCAAATACTGAGTCCCTCCAACAAATGTATGAATTTCACTGCTTTTATTTTCTTCTTCTCTAATGTTAAAATCAGCTATGTGGAAAAAAATATAAAACCTATAATTACATTAATGTTTTGCTAGCTACTTTTTCCCACACACATGATTTTGATAAATAAGTATGCTTTCTAAACATTGAAATGCTGGTATTTAAACAATGAAATCTAACTGCAGTAAATTAAATGCATATACTTGTAATGTCTCAGTAAGGAATAATAATTATTGTGAAGTTAATTACAATGGGGTTTTTGTTGTTGTGTTTTAAAGAATGCTGAGGAGTATGGAGATCTGCCTGTGAGACACAATGAAGATCAGATGAATAGTGAACTGGCAAAACATCTCCCAATTGAAGTCAATCCTCATTCATTTGACAGTTCACACACAAAAACACACCTCCTGCTGCAAGCCCACTTCAGCCATGCCATGCTGCCCTGTCCAGACTATGCAACTGATACAAAGACAGTGCTGGACCAAGCAATTAGGATATGTCAGGTACAGTAAAGGCTTTTCAATCTCTCACTCTTATTGTTCTACTGTTTATTGTTAGTATGTTGTAATGTTTTGAATACAGAAAAATCCAAAGATTTATTGCAGTCTTGTGGAAGACTGGCACCACCCGGTATGATACCACTTTGTTTAGGGAGGAACTAGATGCCCATAAAGATGCCAGATGTACAGAACTGGAAGTAAATTAACTTAAGGTAAAAAGACTGTCATGCTCTAGTTGGTGGCATCTCTTGCCATGGGGCTTGCCTCTTCTTTCTTATGCAACAGCTTTCTGTCTCTGTCTCAGGGAATGCTGTACGTAAATCACTCCTCCATGTGTGTGCTCCCTGCAGATTGTCATGCTGAGCCCCAAGAACCTGGCTCCCATGGGTACATTTCTTTTTTATAGCACCCAGAAGTCCTGTAGTCACTGCCAAGTGTAAATAAAACAGCTTTGGAAATGTGATTTGGGATGAGATGCAGGGGTTTTCTCTAAGCTTGTGAAAAGATGTGTAATCTGTTTCCCAGTTATCATAGAGTCAAAGAGCACACTTTTAAACACAGGTTTATAACTCAGTCTGGAGGCTTGTGACTTTTGCAGTTATGCTGCAGTGCAACCCACAGAAATTAAACTGACCATGCAGAGAGTAGTGGTAACAAGCAATCACATGCACAGCTGCATGTCTCAAAAGGATTTCAAAGCAGCAATTTGAGTTTGGAGTATGAGTGCTGCCATATCTGAAAAGCACAATTATAGCTAGAACAGGAAGGGTGAGCTCTAATTGACGCAGAGAACAGCCACCCCTCTAGTTCTGCCAGAAAGGAGTAATGCTGTCCTGAGCAGAACAGGGCAAGGACTCAGGCACAGGTTCTTGAAGATCAGATTGTCTTTCAACAAACTATTATTTTTATCTTCTTCAGTTCCATATCTGTAAAATAAGGACAAAAATTCTTTCTTCCTATGGGTTTTGTTTGCTCAGATTTTAATACTCTTGGTGATCTGCATATCAGCAATCAGAATGAGGCTTTGATCTTGCTTGAAACCTGGTGGCAATATGGTAACTGAAAACATGCTTGTGTCAAGTCTACCACTTTAGTAACTTCTCACAGAGTGTTTTCACAATCAATGCTCTAGACAGACAAGATACCGTGGGCAGTTAAGCATCCAGTGATTTGAGTGGGTCTGAAATTACACAAGCAAAACCTGCAAGCTTGTAATACTAATATCCAACAAAACCAAAATTAAGAAAAGGAAAGTAAGAAGCCCATAACACCACAAATGTTATTCCTACCCAGTCTTAAACTAGGGAACCAGCAATGCTTGAATGCAAGTCTGTTCCAAATATTTAGTATCAGTAAAATCATGGGGCTGGAAGCTTCAATGTATGTTCATCATATTAATTAACAGAGAACAATATCACTTGCTCAGGTGAGAAAGTTCACCTTTGTTTCAAAGAAATTAGGTACTTAAATTTCATAGATGTCTGTGGAATTAGTATTTGGGGGATTAATTATGTCTTTGGAAAAAATGTGTAAATTAAATGTAAATTCTTCTCAATAGTTATTTTGCTCAATGTTTATCCTTTTGTGCTAGGAATTGTGGTTTTTTAATCTGTTACTTCTTAATAGGTGTTTCAGAAATAATAGACACCCTGAAGAAAAATTAAAAAGCCCACAATATTTAACAGTTCCTTGGAACTGGAGTAGGGTGCAGAAGAATAGCGTTCCATACAGAGTACTGCCACTGGGGCCTTTGGTTAGCTACTACAGCATGTTACATATACAGTTGTCTTGAAAAAAAAAGAAGAAAAAATGCCCTCTTTCAAGAAAAAAAGGAAAAATGTGCAAGCATTTTTGTATTTTGAAGTTGGCTCATGGTTTACATCTCTTGGGAGAATTTTTGTTCCATGTTATTAGTCACGCTTTCCAAACGGAGGTTAAAGTTCCCAGAATCTAAGCAATAGGCAGGGTTACACTTTCAATACTGGTTGTTACCTTTTTCCTTAGCACTGACCTGCTGGTGAACTCTGGGTCAATAGAGGTGGAAAAAAAGATGTTAGTTGTGAGAAAAGGAACTGAACCATAGAAGGATCCGTTGATAAACGGATTCAGTGGGTGATGTTCTCTCTGTATGTGAAACGCGCGCTCGCGCAGCACCAAACGTAAAACGCAGCCGTGAGCTGGGAGTTAGTTTTTGAGTTGTGTTGAACTTCTGTTTATTTACTTGCAAAGTACTTTGGCTGTTAAGGTTGTCCTTCAAACTGTGACCTGAACATAAACTGTTATTTTTGCTGGTGGGTGTGTGAATGACAGACTTGCCATTGCAGTGCTGCTTTCCTGTTACAAGAAAGCGAGATCTTTCAGAGAGCTTTTGTGAGTCCAGAGAAGGGCCACAAACATGATCAGAGGGCTGGAGCAGCTCTCCTACAAACACAGGCTGAGAGAACTGGGGTTTTTCAGCCTGGAGAAGAGAAGGCTTCAGTGGCACCTCATAGTGGCCTTCAAGTTCCTAAAGGGGCTGCAGGAAAACTGGGGAGGGACTGTTTAGAAGAGCATCCAGTGGCAGGATGAGAGGTAACAATTTTAAGCTGGAAAAAGGTAGGTTTACATCAGACATTAGGAGGAAATTCTTTAGTGTGAGGGTGGTGAGACACTGGCACAGGTTGTTCAGGGAAGTTTTGGATGCTCCCTGCCTGCAAGTGTTCAAGGCCAGGTTAGATGGGGCTTTGAGCGACATGGTCTGGTGGGATGGAGGTGTCCCTGCCCATGCAGGGGGGTTGAGACTAGATGATCTTTAAGGCCCTTTCCAATCCAAACCATTCTATGGTTCCATGATTCTAAGTGGTTGTATCTCAGAACAAACAGCCAGGCTCCATCCCAGGTCCCCTGCAGAGCAGGTTTGCCCTCAGGCCACGATACATGAGCTTCTTTCCATCACAGCCTATTAAACTTCTCCAGTCTTCTGTGCTGTCTTTCACCAGAATCAGCCTTCTCTCCCATGGTTCCTGTGGCATCCCACCCATTGTGTCCTCCCACCCATTCCTACAACGACCTCTGGGCCCCTTTCAACCCTAGTGGCTTGAGGCCGAGTTGTGCTAATAGTCAGTCAGACATTTATGTTCACACCATCAGATACATAGATGTAGCTGATGGGTTTAAGGTAAGATCTTCTAATAAAAAAATATGCAGTCACTCTTAAATTATTTTGCCTGAGATGTCTTAGAAGTTTTGGGTTTATGTTAGAATGCAGTTCGTCTATAGTCATAATGAAAGATAGAAGTCATAAACGTTTACCAGAATTTGAGGAGTCATGGTTGGTGTTGGCTCAGTAAAGGAATGTAATTTATAACATAGAAAATGGAAGAAATCTATTCTGTTACAGTTTTCTTCTAGTTAGCATTTGTTAGGTATAGATGGAGTTCATGATAGGAAGATAAAATTGAGTATCGATTTAGCTGGTATGAAATACAGAATTCTTTCCCTTTTACTGCAGAAATATGGGGAAGAGCAGTAAGGAGCCTTATGGAAGATGAATGCCTGTCAGCTCCCACACCCATGTCTGTAGTGAATGGCCACTGAGGCATTGACTAGACTGAAGGACTGTCCCTGCTCTACATGCAAAAGCTCAAGTCAAAAACTAACAGGTTTTTTTATCAGTGACAGGTGCTCATAGATAAAGCACAGAAGGTTCCCATGGCTCAGAAAGTTTGCCATGACTTCTGTGTGAACTTGGGCAAGTCATTTAATTTGGATTTGTCTCTGTTACCTTTCATACAGTTAGAGTAGACTGCATATTCACCTCAAGCTTAGCACTATCTGCATTGTTTTTAGTAAGAAGAGTTCTCAGCAAGATGGTGCTGAGCACTCCAGTAGCTGCTGAAACCAAACACTTCTCCACTTCTTGCAGGAGAACATCAAAGCATAAAAATTCTAATGAAATAATTTGTATAACATTTGTATAGAATATTATTACTATTGTAAAGACAACACCCCACCTTTTTTTCTTATCTGGTTTAAGAATATGTGAAACAGACTAAATCTAATCTCTTTTTTACTGATTTTGTCAAGCCTTGTATTTTGTGCCTGTGTATTCAGCGATCAGGTCTTACTCTGCTCTTCCAAGACTATGGCCTATATTTGCATTAATTGAGATGGATAATTGAGGCAGTAATACTGTCTGTCTTAGCTTCAGCAGGGCAGTCACTTCTAGGAAATAATGTGACAGTTGCTGGCTTTGCACTGGGATTGGCCACAAGCCTCCACTTGTGGTATAGTCGTTGATAAAATATTTCAGCATTGCCAGGAGCAGAGCTACCTTGGAGCTCAGCCTTAACCTTTGAGAAGTGTTTATCTATGGATGTGTTAAACACATCTCAGCAGGGTACCTGTGCACTAAGAAGATGGACATGAAGTCACATTCCAAACTGCAAGAAGGACCTGGCGAGGCTGTCACTGATGACCTGCCTTTCCCCATCCTGTTACTCCTCCAGAGAATCTTAATTTTCCCTTTGGGTTAAGCACTGCGATTCCTTAGCAGGACAGTGATGTGTGTAACACTGCTTTACCCATTCTGAAATAGTTACAGTGAATAAGCTGTTTCTGATCATTGAAATTGCAGCTTTTGCTACAGTCCTGCTTATGAGAATCAGCTTTGTGATGCATGTTCAGAGTCATCAAATATTGCACAAATACGCTGCCCGATTCAGGTCTCTGAAGAGCCAGCTCACCTACTGAATGCTTGCTCTAGTAAACTGCAGGCTGTTCTGGGTGATGGTGGGAGCTGTGTCTACTGCTTCTCACACAAAAGGTCCTTTCTGGCCATATCAACACAGCTGCAAACAGCAGAAGTGTCTGAGCTGCAGTTCCAGGGCTAAGAGAAGGAAAATGTTCCTCAGCATTGGACTTGCTTTCCTTCCCAAACCTCCTCAGCTTGGAACAACCACTAAAACTATTGGCTTGGGAACCATATCCCTTGGGGAATTCATTCTCCTGTCTATGAGGAATCA